GTGATCCCACCTTTAATTCAAATATGACACTTACACATCAACCACCGAATGATTGCCACATCTGCATTATGTAGATCATTATGTACCTTTAGCATTATCTATTAATGATCGTGGTCGCCACTTTATATATTCATCAGTGTTTCTAAAAGCGTATAGCATGAAAAGACACTGAGGCCAGGTATCGGGTCAGGTGTAAAAAAATATTTTCTTATTTTAATTTTAAAATTTTAAATCAATCTAAAAATTATTTAATAATTAATTAAAAAAAGTGTAAAAGTCAGATACATATAGGGGTGGAGTCATGAATTTAATTTACTGAGGGAAAAATTTATTTGAACACGAAAATTTTAAATCAATGTAATAACACAAGATTTAGAAAATGATATAATACACAATAAATATTGTTTGAAATGAATTTGATGTTCGCGACATGAATTTTTTTTACCACTACCTTTGGGGTTTCTTACTCGATTTAGTTTTTTATTAAATTTTGTTAATTGATGCGTAGATATAAAAAATTTTTGCTACAGTGACATGCTCAACAACGGAGTCAAATGACATATGGGATACGTGTCTATGAATGATTGAACATTTAAAAAAAAAAAGAAAAATCCAATCCTGCCCTGTCAACTTCCCTGTCATTTGCCCTATTCGAGGAACATTATTGTAGATTACATGTGTTAATATTAAAAAAATATTATCCAAAATAATATACTACAGAAGACAAGTGCTGTACACCTCATTTTCTTCTTTCTTAAATCCATAGTTTTCTTGCACTAAGAAGTCACTATGGGCCCCACCATCTAGTCTTTCCGGTAATTCAATATTTTCATTTAATTAATGTCTAATATTAATACATTATTAATTTTTAGGTTAAAAAATATAAATGGAAATGAAACAACATGAAAGCATGGAATTGTCCTAACTGGACTAACGTGGATCCACCCCTGCATATATGTTTATACTTATCGATATATTGTTATTATTAACTTACAGTACAACAATTTGTACGCTTGTCTGCTCTCTATCTCTATCTCTATCTCTCGTTACAAATTATTGAGTAGTT